GAGTACGCTCGGGTGCACTACCACACTGTAATGATCATTATTGAGGACGCATGCGCGGGGTTCCAAGTCGCGGAGCGAGAACGTTGCCAAATATTTGCTGAGATGCCATTAGAGCGTTGGGAGCTTCACGGACTCGGTGCGAACTGACTTACTAGAGCCAATCCCGCAGACTACGAGAGGTATGAACGACGGAGTTCTTGCGGTTCGAGTATAAGCTCTGGTGGCATGCGGCGGTGCGAAAGGAGTTCGCTCTTGGCTGTTCCCTATCTGTGGTCAATAGTTCACTATCTGTGAGGGGCGTAAGAACCGCCTAGCGTAGGTGCATGTTGACGACAAGATGGTGGGGCGGGGTCTGGCCTTCTCGTTCTTTACTTCAAGTCATCGTCCTGAATGAGCTCAGCAGCGAAGATGCGCTTGAGAGCGTGAGCGAGATCTCCCTGCCAGTACGAGTGAAGAGTCTCGAAGAGCGCCATCTGTTCCTTGAGTGCGGCATGAACCAGGTGACCCGGTGATTAATGGCGTATCGCAGGTAGCGCCGAGCCGCGCAGCTCGTCGATGCCGCAGGGGCATGAGCTTCAAGTCCGTGAACTATGGTGTGTGTATACCGCAACGGGAGAGTCCGAGCGTGCGCTGCAGGAAGCTGCTTGGGATCTTCTCCAGGTCCTTCACACAGTCGTCGATGTCCGAGACCGCATCCGCGCCGTGGCAGAGTAGTGCGTCGAAACGGGTCGTATACAGGAGCCGCGCGACGGCGGGGGCTACGTCCTTGAGCATATCCCTCATGCCGATTCTCGCCCACAACACGCGCATAGACCTCGTCTTAGACGTCTCGTGAATGAATGTGCGGATGTATTCCAGGTGGTTCTCTCGCGTGTTTCCGAGCGTCGGAAAGGAGGGGTCGTCAATAAGGACACCAATCGCACTCTCGAGATCATCTGATGTCTCACCGTTAGAGCGAACGATGTAGCGCATGTTCTTGTAGAGTCTGCGTAGCCAGTTGATGATTGGGACGGAGCGGCCGCGACGATGCAGTTCCATCCGCAGCGTATCCCTATCAGGGGAGGGGAACGCGTTGCTGACGTCGACGAAGGCCACGGTGACGGGGCTTATTGAGGGCCCTATAGTTCTCCATGATCATGCGAAAGATGAGGACATTGTCGTCAGTGCGGTAGCCCTCTAGACACTTGATATGTGCGGCGGGGTGATCTTATCATCCTCCGCCCAAGCGTGGAGGCCCATATGAACGAGAAGGGTGAGTAGTCTCAGTAAGAAAGGCTCGCGGGCGATGGTCCGGTAGCCGCGAGATTGTAGTCTAGTACGTTTCGCTTCAGGATGACGACGGCGGTGGTGGTGCGCAACTAGAGCGATGGCGAGATCTCGTAGTTCGATGCACAGGTTGAGAAAGTTCGAGCGGGGCCTCGTTGTCCATCTTCGGGATGAACGAGCGCGTGACGCCGTCCGTGCCAGGTGCGCTGCGACTACTGCGTTCGCTGGCCCTAGCCTTCAGTTCCGCAATCTCGCTCAGTGCCCACGGGCTACGGAAGGTCTCGTCTGACGGTGCGGCATCCTCCAGAACATCAAGGTTGCGGGCTGTGGAGCTGGTGGCGATGGCGGTCGAAGCATGAAAGCTTGGTAGTGTTTGCGCGGGTAGGTTCATGCGGTGTTCGGATACCGGTTGAATGGCAGCGGCGGTGACGGCGCAGGTCTGTTTCTTGTCGCCGCCAAGGTCGCGGTAAGCATTCTAGGGAGTGTCACCGAGGTGGCGCGAGTCGAGAAGGGTCTCACGCTTCACGTACCTTCGTTGGACCAGGGGGTGCGTGTGTCTGGGGTGTCGCCCTCCGGGTCCGCACCTAGGTCGGCCATGGCACATATCACCTTCGGGCGTAAGCTCGCACCCTCATCGTGGGGCGGGGCAGCAAAAGAACGGTCTTAGCCAAATTCGTCGGCAAAATTGATGTGGTGGTCCGCGCCATCGTTATGCAGGTCGCCCGAGTGCCCGCGGACGTAGTCAAAGCGCGTGGGCGCTGTCCTCGTACAGAGCCAGTCGAAGCAGACACGCAGAATGGCATCGTGCGCGCAGCGCCGCCCGGTGTACACTCGGCAGTGAACCGAGTAGTACAGCGAGCGTAGCGCCCACTTGGGGTCCAAGCTTGGGTGGTGTGTCAGGGGTTGTTGTACAGAGTTCAGTGGGAGTCGACTCCGCGAAAGATAATCTCGCAGACCTAGTCGTAGGCGATGTTTGAGAGACAGAAGATGATGTGGCAAACCGAACTGCGAATGAAGGCGTATAGGACGTCGAAATTAAGCGTCAGAACCGTCTCGAGATCTGAGAGATGCAGCGTGAGACTCAGGATGCGGTAGTCTGCTCTGGAGCTCTGCATGGGATTCACGTCAGACTGAGCGTCTGAACTTGGGGAACTGGATTACCCACTAGCAAACGAATACACTTCGTCAGCGTTACCCGTCACCGAATCATATTGTGTTGTAATCGGTTCAGTCTGCTGAGTGTTTTAGGATGATACGACCAGTAGAGCGCCTACATATGGGTCTGTTCCATCTGTGAAGAAGGGGGTGAAGATATTGAAGGCGAGAAGCAGAGCACGTAGCGTGGTATAAGTACAGATGATGAGAGGAGGCAAGAAGCTCCGACAGGCCACAGCCACACCTAAGTCAGTGCTCGTATACACACGCCCGTCTTATTGGGACTTCTAACAATGCTGCACTTGGAGCGGACTGTGATTGAATCAACAGATCCTTGTCATGAAGTAGCGAGGATTTATCTCTCTCAATAGCATTCGGCTAGTGTATGGCTCGCCCGGCGTGCCTCTTCCATGGATTCTGACTCCGTCTGAACACGATCGTGCACCCTGTCGTCCCGATGCGCTCACCCAGGAGTCTGTCCAATGTCCTCGCCCGTCTGAGTGATCAATGAGTGCCCCATCCAATGAGGAGCCAGTCCTCCTCCCTCATCCATTACCAACCGCCGTAGTGCCGCGCAGAGCTCGCTGGCGTCGCGGAGTATATTGGAAGCGAGAATCTTTCGAAGTTGAAGAGGAAGGGTCGTGCAGTTATCGCACTGAACAAGCTGCCAACAGAATCAGTAAGACACATTCATATCCGTTCACATAACATACATCATCAGGTGCCAGAGTAATCAGTGCACGCGCGTATGTCCCACTTCGAGAATTCAACTCCGTCTTGCTGATTGCCCACCAATCAGCTAGTAAACCCATCGTAGAATCCCCCCCTTCAATCTCCATCAATGCCATCAGAAGATCGCTTTCCAGTGCTCCAGCTTCAGCCTCCGGAGCGGGTAGTGTATGGTAGCGCTGCCGAGCAGTGTCGTATGAGATTGCGCCCTGACAGACTGCACTTGTAAGGTGATACAGCCGCTTCAATGGGCCGTCCATTGTTACACCATGATTCACAGTGAGCCAGCCGGAAAGTCTTGCTATCCAAGCCTAGGACACGTAGTTGGTAAGGGGGAAACGGCGGGCATAGATCCGCACTCACAAGCTCGACTTCCATGTTATCGCGAAAAGCGCGCTCGTCCAGCGTGGCCGAGCCAATGGAGCAGTATATATGCCTATGCCGATCCATTGCAAGCCAATATAACTGATGTCGCAGGGCGGACGTGTGTAGCTGTACACGTATCGGCATGGTGGTTGAGGAAGAGGAAAGGTTTGCACGTGGTAAGTTGGATATCTATTCCACGTGTGTCACCGAGACGCGTGAACTTGACTTGTACCTGCACCCAGTACGCGCTATATGCGAAGCAAGTTTCGGGGCACCCCATGATATCTCTGGTCTATAGAATATCTGCCAGAATGAGTCCTTATATGACTTAATTACCCCATTAGCTCCCGGCACCTCCAACGTAGCTCAACCAATTGCTATTTCTCATCGGCGGACGCGGCCATCCCCGGTCTTGATGCGTCTCAACATTTTTGTAGCTACAACGATGCGATACAAGGATACGATGCAAACAGACACCGTCCACGATGATGTCCACGCAGAGCAAAAGCCTTGACGGTAGTAATGACTTCGGCTGTCTACGGCATGCATATTGGTGTAGGCACCCCCTGGTCTAGATTACATCCATAAGTTGAGTACAACGGTCACGGCTGACCCCTCATCCGCGTTCCACAGCTCCCATACCATATATTTCTTGGTACGTTTTCTGTAACATCCCATCGTCGACCTCCATACTTTGAAGTAGAAGGGTGCGTTGGCCATTCTGGGCTTCCGTAATGAAGTCCAGAACATCGAGATGGCGCTCAAGCAAAGACTCGAGTCGCTGACTTTGAGATCGCTCGCCTGTGTCAGGCTATATAACACGCTGTGAGTACGACTTCTGGGAGCATGATCTTCAGCTTACTGCGTTCTGAAAGTGTTCTAGTGCGCGCGCAAGTATCCCTTCGGATGCAGAGGTTGGCTGTATGGCGTCTGGAAGAAGATCGTTCCACCAGCGTGGCAGGATCAAGCCCTCGTTGGAAAGCTGTGAGTACGTAGCCTCGCACTGCTTCCTGATCTCATCATGATTCTCGCGAAGAGTACACAGCCATGCGTCGAACTCGTCCATAGAGACGAAAGCGCTCTCTATGGGACCGTGACCAGCAGAGACTTGCAACATGCAGCGATGGAGCTCCTTGGCCCGATCAGGAATGGCCACTTTGCGGCAAGTTGCCCAGCCAGAAAGACAAGATATCCATGCCTATCTCATGTCAGAGTGATGGCAATGTAGACCTTGAGAACTCACGGCTGATATTTTGAAACCCTGACGAACCCTCGTTACGTCAGGTTGCCATCCTGGATGCACCCGCTTTGCGTGCTCGAACGCGGTCGTCATCTCGCTCTGCATAGATAGCACGATCCATAGGAAGAATATATGGTTTGGGTCTTTGTGAAGGAGTGCCTGATCCCAGGTAGACATGACGCGTCATGCCAAGGATGAACGCTCGAGTGGTCAGCGCCTTTGCCACGTTTGCCCTGACTAAGCACCATTGCGTAGCTACCGTCGGCCCGTCGGTCTCTCAAGTCTCGAGACTGCCGCCGTGCGTTACTCCTTCACTGCGACTCTATGACTTTCGGCTAGAATGCGACTCGCATTCGTCTCACATAACTGTGTTGCGGCGCTCCCCCTTGCCCTCGACGGTGCAGGTGTATATTGTGTCTGAGGAATCAACGGCGTCCGGACACTAGAAGTACTGGTTGAGGAGTCTGGTTGGGGTCTCCCAGTATACGATGGACGATCATAATCCAAGTACTCAATAAATAAGATGTAATTGTTCGAGACGGTTGCTTGCTGGAGAGCATTGAACTCTCGAGGTAGGAACATCGGTCCATCGTGACCGGGGGTGTCGGAGTTTCGAAGCTCTTGGTTTTTCATCGGAATCGACTGTCGGAAGAGTGCAGAGGTCGGAGATCCGAGCGGCAAACGCCGCTAACCGCGGTTCCGACCTTTCTGAACGGGACCCGGAGAGCGAATCCACCCATCTATTACGGGCTCCAACATGATGCGGACGCGTATGCACTATATTAGCTCTAGGCCACCCGGCTTACCCATTCCCAGCGCCCGGAAGTACTTACCACGTACAATGTCGACCACTCCATCCTCAGATGTGCTTACATCTTCTGACGTGCCGGTCGTATCTTTGTCGTGCAGCCCCCAACTTGGCATTCCGATGTTCGACGACCCAAGAGACTACACCATTCCGAGTCTTGCCTGGCAATACGCCAACATGATCTCCATCCTTACTGAGCTGGGGTATGCGTCCGACGCAATTGCAGAGCTAAGGCTGCTCTCAGCGGAGCTCGCGTATTGGGCAGAGTACGCGTTTAAACCTTTCTTGTCAATCGGCATGGTCTGACATTGCCATTTCAGGAGACGACACCCCTCTGAGCGTCCTCACACCCCGTCATTTCCCCAACCCCCCAAACCCCCCACAATGGAGTACCTCAGAGCAATTGCGCGCTACAAGATGCGTGTCAATCCACGGCTCGCTTTATCCGGGTGGAAAGATGACCACGAGGTTATGAAGGAGGGGATTCAACGGTACATAGACATCGCACGCGCGGCACTTGCTTCTCATTGGACTTCATCGTCGTACGGGCTTTCGTTGGATGGAGTGCAATCAGGTGACGCAATTGTGCGGCATTCAGACACTTCTTACGAGACACCTGAGGTCAGACACAAACGGGGCGTTCGCGCGATTGGACAGCAAACGACCCTACGACGCAGTAGCCGAAAGAGCGTACCACCGCAACGATTTGGCAGGGGCGACTGACTTGATTAGTCGCCGAGATATCATATGTGGTGGTCGCTACTTTCTACCAAATGACTTATCTGTGTTTGTCTGATCATGTGCGATCGTCTGTCTTGCCGACGTAGAGTTCGACAGGAATTCAAATATACACCTGTGTCGAAGCGTTGACAGATCCCGTTGAAGGCTACATAATAGGTAATACGTGCGAAGCGCTTGATTGTGATATGCATGTGTATGAGTACTCCTTGAGTGATACTCGGTACTCCCAGAGCAGAGCACATAGAGTACACGAATAATCTGGAAAGAAGTTAAAACGAAGATGCACACCAAACCAGTCATCTCATACAACGCACGAAGACATTTCATGGCCGTAGGATGGGGGCCAGGGGAATATATTGCGGTATTTCTCCCGATCGAGTGATATGGGCCTTAGCTGCGATTGCGCCTTGTGCCGCGATGTAGTCGGTCATTGCTGCATCCAGCTCGTTGATATGATGAGCTTTGAGTGCTTGTGCACGCTCCAGACATAGTTTGGCATGGGGCTTTAGGATCTCGTAGTCGCGTCTGCATTTCGAGCCTACGGCTAGCAATTTTTTCGACGCCACGATGTCCTGTTATCCGTTGAGAAATGTCCCCGCTACTGAGTATGTGACGTACTCGTCCTCCCTCCGGTTTGACGTGATTCACAATGAAGGCACTGGCGTCAAAACATTCAAGCGGAAGACTCGGATCCGATGACCACCAGAGCGGTAAAGCCCCGACGCCCCGACAGGCGGCGACCTTATCGTGAACACGGAGGAAGTCCGCTGCTAGCTGGCGCGCTTCAATCCAATGACTATTGCCATAATTTCGAACCCGCATAGCCTCGCAGATCACAGTAACAAGGTCGTATGAGAGGCCGTCCATATTCACGCCACGGAGAGCCGCGTCGCCTATCACCCCATGATAGACGTTCTATCTCATTGTGAGTCATCGCATGAGATCCTAGGGTAGTCAGATCTTACCAGTTCCGATCTCAGATTAGTGACGAATATCTGGTCCGTTATCTGCACCACGGTACGGGACATGAGGGCCGCAGACATCCTCCATGTCATGTAAACGTGGAATTCAACGACGCGGCGACGACACTGACCCGAACAGTGTCACCGTCAATCCCGATACATGGAAATAGACCGTTAACCACGTGCTCAAGTAGCACACACCTCTTCGGCCGAGCGCTGTGGAGAGCCCTCTAGTATATTCCGTTCGATCTCCCCCATAACTTCGTCCAGCTCCCGCCCCATACAGTCCAGACGGTCGCGTACCAGTTCGGCCTTGTCCAGCACCTCAAAAGTAAGTTTCAGGCGTCGTTTAGCGTCACTGGCCCTTGCCCAGGATGCGCTATGCAACAGTTGAACCTCGTGTCCGACGGCGCTGAGATGACCATCTAAGGTTGGTAACTCAGTCGACTGGTCAGTCTGGGCGTTAACCCAGGCTCTGATGTCTGTGATCCTGGTAAGTCTCGAATGGCATAGAAAGAGGATTCATCGAACCGCTTTCAGAGCGAGGCAAGAAATGCATTGATTCCCGAAAGCGCGTGTCCGAATCATCCTGACCAACACCCATTGACGACGCCGGGGTGCGGCCGGGTACTGGTAGCTTGTGCTCGTATGCTATGGAGGATAAGGAATGTTCAGTCTCCCGGACTGCTTGCGCCAACCCGTCTTCTGTAAGTTGAGATTATCATCAATGAGATGGAGTGCAGTGTATTATTCAGTCAACTCACCCTTACGTGTAGCCTCGCCGTTCGTATATGTATTCGTTTCGTGACCTCCGTTCCCCTTTGCGACAGTGGAAGAAGGGTTTCCTTCGGTACTTGGGGACAGAGGCCCGTGCCACATAGCTCGACGCTGCTCGTCGACCGGCCTGTCTGAGCCAGGAGCATATATATTAGACGCGGTGCACGCAAAGAAAGCCATAACCTACTCTCAGTCTGGCGCTCTATCGACTTCGCTTTGTCGGTACTGTGCATAAAGTCCTCCGTGGTGGTGTGAGACTAACCGTGGATCACCCGCCAAATTGCGGACTCGTGACAACGGGGCCGACCGCCTGAGAGTCGGAGGAACGCGAGTCTCACTGGTTCACAGACGCCACAACAATGACGGTTTACTCTCTGACGCTCCTCTGCAAGGGCGACGCCTTGGTGCCCCTTCTCCTCGGATACTTTGAAATTCTTGATCAGGATCAACGCGCTCTGGTGCTTACTGGCCGATGTCTACATGCTATGCAAGCGCTAGCAGTGACAACGAAGATACAGCTCTTGAAAGAGGGTAGGTATCTACTGAGGCTAGAAGTCGTAAGTCACTCCGTTGTCTCACATGAGGCGTAATGTACTCATATTTTAGAAACTCCTCCAAGCCACTGCACCCGTCGGCCTAGTGGCCATTGAAAGTCGACGTTCTTTCATAGCGTTTGCGGACTTTGTCGAGATGCTTGTATCAGACGGCGAACCCCTAGAGCACCACCCGCGTCTGTGGAAGGAAGCTTTCTCCGAATTTCAACATCACTTCGTGCGTTGGGAGCAGGGTTGGGCCTTGTGGCAAGCAAAGATGGGTAGCGTACAGGTAGACTGGTGGTCTGTACTCGGTGAGTGAGACTCGCCCCGCGACTTTTCAAATTGCCTGACGGTCTGTAGTGGATCCATGTAACTTCTCCAACGAGCCCGGACCTCGGTCTATTATAGACGAACCGATGGATGCTGCGCTGTCAAGCTCGACGGCCGACACGGGCGCGACCGCCTCCCAGAAAGCACAAACGCCCTCGCAACACCCACTCGGTGCCCATGGTCACACAACCCACCCCACGCCTCGTGGGTCGGTGCAGGTCGAAAGTGATCTCGATGTGGGGGATGCGAGCCGAGCGTCTCCTGCACGCTATCCTTTCGTCGTCGAGGACCCTCAGGCGACGCCTGACGATTCTCACCCGCTTGGCAAAGACAATATCGACGTCTCCACAGTTAATCAGTCGAATAAGGACGGTTTGAAAACGGCTTCCGCAACGCAACCTACCGGAGGAGCTCTACCTTCGGGTACATCGACTCAAGATAAGCAGGATGTTCCGGGGCCGCATGCGACGGCACCGAGGACTCGGGATCATATCCCTGGAAAGGCAGAGGGAACGCAGCGCGTGATGCATGCGGATGAAGGGCAGTTGGGCTCGACCGAGGAGCTCGAGGGGGTGCGTCGCTCTCAGGGATCCGCTCAGCCATCTTCCGGACCGGAGCGGCCGCTGGCTCCGACATCCGCAGAGGACGCAACATCCACGACTGCACCCCCTCTTGATATGTCAAGTGCTCAGACACCTTTCGCACTACACACCCACGGCAATGCATCGCAGACACCTGCCCCTCTCTCGCACGTGGACGATGCGTTCATTGCGCTTGTCGCGTCTCGCATCGACGCTTCCATGGCGGCTCGTCTGCAGTCGCTGACCGCACTCTACGACCAGCGATTGGACTCATTGATTACCTGGGTGGATCAACATTACGCCGGCCTATATGACGAGTTGTATCAGGAGATGGCGAGAAGGGAGCAGTCTACGATTTACAGCGTCAGGCGATACATCGACACTGTATCTGTAGGCACCAATACTGCGCTCGCGACACTCCAATCGTCGGTAGCACGCCTTGAAGATCAGCTGCAAGATCAGCTCAAGGAAAGGACCTCTACCACGTACACTCCTGGGTCATTCCGTACCTTCAACCGTTTATCTGGCGGTCCCATTACTCCTTTCACGACGATGTCGTCTCGCGCTCAGCTGCCAACCTACCCTGGCCCCTCATCGGAACCTGCCGCAGAGCAGACCGCGGAGATGCCCCCAGCTGAAACACAAGATCTCCCCGGGTCGGCCTCATCTTCTCGTCATCCAGTAGCGACCACATTTTTTTCGCATACACCTCGCGCACCGATCGGCAATGCAATTCCGCCATTCTCTCAGTCCGCCTTCGGTGCTATGCCAAGTGGGGTAAGTGCTTATGCTGAGTTCAATTGCCTTGCATTGCGCGAATGTCTCAATCATCTTGCGTCACAGGAAAGCCGCCCGGGCATGAAGCGGGGTTTCAACTCGACCATGGCTGGCAGCGAAGACGCCGCGGCGAAAAGAAGGCGCGGGACCGGCACAGATGCGCCTGATGGATAGGAGGGGTGGGAATCGCCCTGGAGGACCACAGCTCATTTGTAGGTTCTTTAGACATAGATACACGCCAGTCGCGTCCTAAGCTGCTGATGTGCAAGTCGCTACCAGAGAACCTGGTGGTACCTGACATTTGTAGTTCCTTTTCTGTACTTTATGCATCCGGGATCAACAACGCATACCAGATCTGAGGGGAAAGGCTAATGCTTGAGTCACCCGCTCGTCGGATGCTGAGGCCATTGAAACAGCCAGGTATATATTCTTTACAATAAAAAGGCACTCTAGCAGTCATTGATCTGTGCAGAAGCCGTGTCTGAAGGCCTGAAGTTTGGCGGCGAATACTTGAACAAAGAACGCCCACGACAAGACTCCTCCATTCATAGCGTCTGATCTAGACAGGAATGGAGAGCAAGGGTTCCTGAAAGCCTTGCGCAGGATTGTCGATCCAGTGTGGTCTTTGGTCAAGGTGAGCGGCGTTGCACGGGGTGTCAGTAAGTGGTTCCGTGGTTTTCGTTCACGAGGCCGTTAATTTACTGGACGCAGATCATCATCGCGGATCGGCGTGCGAATAAGGAAACGGCAGGTCCCAACGCAGAATGATCCGCGGTCGCACCCGTCTGACATGCCGCAGATGTCATTTGGCAGCCACCCTCCACCTTCCTCTTCTCATTCACAACTGAGCGGGTGTTGTCCTCTCGCTCTCTCCGTCATGTCGGGGGATCGACAGGATGTCTCCCCTATCATCGAACCTCGTACAACGGTGCTCATCAGGAAGTACGGCTCCGGTCGGCTAGAACTAGTACTCGCCAACCTCTTAAAGAACTTGGACGAGAACGGGCGCGCGCATATGATGGTCTCTCGTCTTCTCGATCTCGCGCGCAGCATGGCGCAGTGTATTGACGCTGCACGAATCATGTTTCTGGTAGCAATAGAGCTGGTATGTTTCGTCCCTTCGGCCGTGCGCATGACTGAGTCGAACTTCAGAGCTTCCTCGTGAACGCAAATCCTGTGGACGCTAGGCTTCAGGACATGAAAACTACAGTCGTTCATATGTTTAGGGGTGTCATGTCAAGCTTATCCGAGGACGATAACGACGATACTCGGCATGCCGCTTGGGGTAACGCTCTGCTACGCTTGAGCAACGATTTACAGCGTTGGCAGGGTGGTATGGGTACACAATTATGGTGGCAATACTTGGGTGCGTGTGGTAGCTCTGAACTGGTGCGTTACTAATATGGTTATGGTGAAGTGGTACCTTCGCCACCTAGGCTCTCAATTCCTCCCCGTAATCCCGGAATCCCAGACGCCGCTCCTTTGCCGGGGATGAGCGTGGCACAACCAGTCTCCCCAGCTCCTATGATCGTCCCACCGGTTGGCGTAGCCGAGAGGAAGTCTTCGGATGTACAAACGCCGGACCTCAGCCGCGTTTCCTCTCTTGGCGCACCTCCAGTGTTCGGTGCACCATCCACCGCGAAAAATCCGGATCCCGCTCTTCCTCATGCGAACGCTACGAGAGAGCTAGGCCTACAACAGTCTGCCGATGCGTCTGTGCAGGTCTTGCCAGCTGCTGGCTTGCACCCGGCCGCCGCCGCAGCGTTGGGAGCTGAGCCATCACCACTTGCGACGCCTCCCTCGGAACAGCCGGCCGCTTCTGAAGAAGGCATGCCGACGGTTCAGCCTTCTCCCGACGCCTTCCCTCACTCCGAGACACTCCAGCCTCGCATAGGACACAACTCGCAGCATACCTCACGGCCTGACGTTTTCGAGGCTCCTATGAACTTCAATTCGGGTCGAGAGGATCACGTATGTTCTGGTCAGCTTATTCATGTCTCCGAAGGATCTCATTTCTCATATCAGGCCCTGACTGACGTTATTAATGGCGGAGCGACCGGCGCGATCAATCTCCATGATAGGGAGGAAGGCGCGAGTCCTGCGGAGAAGAATGCAGGAAAAGAACGCGGAGGGACGAAGGGCAAGACCAAAAGTGGGGGAAGAGCGACAGGGAAAGCTACAGATGGCGGGGCTGGAAAGGGGCGAGGTGCGGGAAAGGTTGCGGGAAGGGGTGCGAGTGCGAGTGCTGGAAGGGGCAAGGGCAGGGAAAAGGACGCTGGCGAAAGTGTCCGCTTAATTGACAGGAGCGATATCAAGACCCGCCGTAAACATGGCGGCTCTCGTGCTCGACCTCATGAGGCCGGTACGTGCATTTCTTCCGCTAGCTTGGGAACCTGACGTTAACCTCGCCACAGGGAGCGATATGGATATTGACTCCGACGAACTTCCGCCCGGACATTCCGATCCGGGTGACTATCTGACGGTCGAAGAAGCTCAAGAGATTGCGGAACGCACTTGCCAGGATTTTTTAACCCGTGCCTCCAAATTCTTCAGCGTATTCAAGACCGATGGCCGCGAGGAGAAGGGGAAAGCTTTGGAGAAGGCAAAGGGCGGAAAGGCGAAGCGGATAGAAAAAGGAAAAGGGAAGCGGAATAACAAGGGCGATGATGACGACAATGAAGCAGTCAAAGAGGAGGAGGACGAAGCAGTTGAAGAGGCGGAAGGAGACGTAGATGACGAAGATGAGAGTGAGGATGGGGACGAGAACGAGGATGAGGATGAGGAAATGCTCGTGTCCGCGGACGACGAGGACGAGGACGTGGATGACGATGACGAGAGCGAGGTCGACGGCGAGGACGACGGTGAGGGCGGTGGCGAGGACGAGGACGCCGAGGCCGACGAGGCCGACGAGGCCGAGGACGGCAGCGAGGGTGTTGTTCAGGACCGCGGCCAGGATGGGTACGATGAAGAGGAGGGGGGGAGAGAAGATGAGGAGGAACGGGGCACAAACACCGCCTACGCGCCCAGCACGACCAAGAAGAAGGGTGGACGCAAGAAGATAGTTGTCCATGATGAGGTCGATGTAGATGAGGATAAGCCCCCTGTAGGTAAAGGGCGGGGAAAGGGAAAGAAGGCCACGGTGTCCACACAGCGCAAAGAGACGAAGGGTAAGTACGTCGGTTCCACCATACCATTTCAATAGTCTGACTACTACGTGGCTCGTAGGTAGCAAAGTCTCTCCTTCCGGTCCCTCTTCAGCAGCCAAACAGAAGCCCTCCGCGCGCAATGCTACCAAGGGACCTTCCGCAAGCCAGCCGAGCGAAGGAACTCCCAAATCCTCTACCCGCAAGCGCGCTCAGCGCGACGCTCCAGATGAGGAGCGGCCTACCAAGCGATCAAACCGAATCGCCCAGAAGTCGAAGTCGATTACTGCCACGTCTGGACGCAGATGATGTGCACACTTTCCACAGAGCCGCCTGACCTACGTGCTTGTCCTAAGCTAGGCAGGTCTTCTGGCCCATTCACGCCTTTCGATGCGATGCCTCCAAACACACTCCACTCTCTATGCGACCGCTGTATGATCTAACGGTTTTACGATTCATCTACCTGGGTCCAGATATCTTCGGTTTCCGACGCCTGCCTTATACCTCGTCTCTGAACTCGCTCGAACTTCTCGCGCATTTATAGATTATGGTGTAACATATACTGACTGATCCTATGTATTCACCCTTTAGTTGAAGTGTCCAATTTCCAATACCTCATCGATGGGCTAGATACTGCATAGAGCCCCACCTCAATTCCGGCATTATCTACCCGCTCATCGGACTTATGCGCGGCGTGCCGATCCAGCATCGCAGTCCAAGCTCTCCAGCGCCCAGGATAGCGCTATTTTGCAGCGCCGAATCATTTCAGCCTATAGAGATTCGGAACGTAAGACTCGTGTGGAAGCAGCCCCAACCAGTACCATGCAGTGGCTATCAAATTCTGAGACAAAAGTCGGGACTCATGAATATGAGCGAAATCCTTGACAAACAACAGGATCTAACTACTGAGCGCCGAGCACACCCCCTGTCTGCTTCTTATTTCCCTTTCTGGCCCCTATCTTCATCATATCCTCTATTTCCTTGGGGGCAAGCATCTGTAATGGTTCAATAGACAACCCTTCCGAGGTATGGACCGCCAAAACCCGTTGAGCCAGCAAACGCCACTCCCCGAATTCTGCCCTCCACTGCGTTGCCTGTGAACGACGGATCCACGCCTGCTTAGACGCATAAGCCATTATACCGTCGTCATGTGCATCACCGCGTGCGTAGGAATGGAGCTCCCCAAAATCAGGGATCACCGCTAACCGTCGGCGCGCCTCCCAGATCCGAGCCATGTTCTCACTGAACACGACAACGCGTCGCATCTCCTCGTCGAGAAGCCGAACCTCTTCCAGCCAACGCTGAGCCCTAGCCCGACTCTTACACCATTCAACCATCAGTTCTATTCGCGTCTTCCGTGTTAGCGGATAGCTTCAGGAGCGACCAATGAACATCATGACGTACCATCCGTGATCTGTATACCAGATTCTTCCGCCATATTATACCATATCCACGGCAGCTTGTATGCAGTTTCCCCCTGCGTATCAGCGCCCCGTCTCCCCGCAAGAAAACGCTGTGCGTTATATTCAGACATCTCCTCCATCTGTTCCAGAAGCCTGTCGCCCAGCCCGCGACAGTCACTGTCTTCTAGTTTGCGCATGGTACTCGTCCAATCGCCTTCTCCAATGAGAGAAACGTAGGCCGCGCGATGGCGTCGGTAGGCGTCAGCTGCCCTCCGCACACGAGCGTCCACAGCATCCTGCGCAGCTCTAGCGCGCGTATTCCCACGTTGCCCAGTCACATTGGCCAGCTTAAACTTGTTCAAGCACCCCTTTAAGCGGAGCTGGTGCCGCAGGTTATCCAGCTCGTCGGCCATAGAAGCCCACCGCAGCTTCGCCTCCATGATGCGCGCGGCGGGCGGAACCATACTCTCGTCTCCGCCAGGAGGCGCAGACGGCATGTAGAGCTTGACGGACATGACGTTACGCCGATCGGGCTCGCGTTCGTCCAATGTCAGGGATGCGTACGTCATCGGCATGTGGTCCTCCTGATGACATCGGAAGCTGTTGACCGCGCGCCCGATGCTGTTTAAAGCATTTGTACGCGCCTCCGCTTGTGAGACCGTTCCCCCAATTTCCACATACTGCGTCGTAAAGCGAGACCTAGAATATCGTCACACACAGACAATCGAAGAAGCCGCATTAATGGATCCGCACCTTTCGCTTTCAATTTCCAGGCCGCGGAGGAGGAATTGTGCAAGTGCCGACTCATCCTCGAGTAAAGTCCCTCGTCCCGACCCCTGCGCCTGCTCGCTCTGCAGCTTTATTTCTGCCACTGAAAGCACTGGAGAAAGTTAGAGGAACATCCTATGTCGGAAGTCTTTTAACATACCATTCTTTCTCTCCACATGATACGGGCTCGGCGTCCTATCCTTGGCCACCTCGCTCTCTTCCCAGCTCATCACTCTAGAGCGCCAGACACCCAACTTTGCAGGATCCTCCTCCTCGATAGCCTCGGTGAACTCTGTAAAAATCGCAGTCTGCTGAAGCGCTTCTGACAGAGCTCGCTGCATGCGTTCGCGAAGCAGAGAGCCTATCGGGTGTCAGAAGATTCACCCGTCTTCACTGGTAACATTCCACTCACTTATCCCGCAGACCTTTTGCCAATTCCACGAGCCGCACATATCGTCCATGGTATCGCTCATACCACCTGGTCCCATCTCCCTCAGGCTTGAAGCGGCAGGGTTAGCACCCGCCCAGACACGTTCACAGCCCTCGCCATCTGTGGCAGCTGCCCCTCGCAAGTGTCCCAGAGCGTATCGTAGCTGACATATGAGCTTATGTGCAAAAAGGTGAAACTTCGGGACCACATAGCTGATAGAGTTGTTATCGAAATGCCACTGGAAGCGCTTCACACCCTCCCAGATCTTGTGATATGGAGAGATCTTGAGTAGGCGCTCACGCAGCCTCTTGCTCCATTGACAGGCAATGTCGTAACAGACTGTCACTTGTGCCGCACGGACGAAAGATAAGGCGCCACAAAATATCCAATCCATGGTGCTATATCTTGTCTCGAGGTTAGACATGCAACCCCATGCATGCGGCGGTGCAAACCTTACCGTTCACCCTTCCTTAGAAGCCCAAGTCCCAGAGGCTGTACGAACTCGTGCCGTGCACAGAAGCATCCAGCTATCCCAGTTGTGCGCAAGCCTTTGCCCCCCTTTAGATTCGCCAGCGTGATGGAACCGAAACGCGAGCAGTCACTAGGCTGGGGATCATAAGGTCCAGCGAATGATGAACACATTCGCTGTGTACATACCGCATCCTTGGTATCCTTCTCGCTCTCTCTCAAGTAGTCAAAATAGTCCAATCGGGGAGCCATGTAGGCACTTCCATCTGTCAAGTTGGGGTCGGTTAAATCATTCGAACGTGTTAACTTGTTGGAGAGCCGGAAATTGGCGTCAAGAGACAGCGTGACTCGGTACAGCCATCTGTGGGTGTATCAGAATCCTTATTATGTTTATAAAAGGAGTGTACCGAAAAGGACTCAATGCCCAGTTTATTGGAACATTCATGTCAAAATGCGGACAAGCAGGGCAGCGGACCGCACACCCGCCGAAGGGGGTGCCTAGCAATCCTTCACTTTCGTGCCCTCTCCCGGCTCTCTTGAACATGAGTATGTGCCGAAACTGTCGGACACATAGCATAAACTGCTGTCGGATACTCTAGAAACGTGTCAATATTGGGGTATCGGCGTTGACACTACGTCAAAAGCCACGAACTGGGAGCTTTCGCAAGTTTGCGCCATCTGTTGCAGCCTCAAGAGCCTTGTAGTAGTCGTAACCGTTCAAGCGTCCTAAGAGAGAGAGACGTGTGAACTGATCGAGGGCTTCGTACGTTGTAGCCGTTTGCGGGTTCTCAGTGGTGGCAGGCCACAGTCGGTACCGCATTAATTGAATGTGATACGGTACGTCAATGCCACGGTCACATCGGCAGAAGTCGACGGGAATACGGTGTATCCCATTCGTATGCGCGATGGAGAAGTTTGTGACCTGATGTAGAGCGCGGAATTCGCATGCTTCTCCGGGAGGGTGCATCATTTGCAGACGAATCCCAAGGTCAGCGGGAAATATCCGCTCGTAAAATTCGCCGTTGTACCTCTAAAGTCGGGTCAGTAGCCAAAAAGGGTGTAGTATATCACCAGAACCGCGCACCTCTAAGCGATGAAAAGGGCTGTACCGGTGCCAAGTTGTGATGCATTCCTTGCAGAGGTCGGCTCCGCGACAGTCTTCACAACGATAACTGGGTGAGCCGTCCACACCGCATCCAGGGCATCGAGTCACGCCCAGAGCATCGGCTCGTCCGTCACGGCGAATAAGCTCGGCCAAGTAGATATCCCTCCACGACAGATTCCAGCGCAGAAGTGGGAAATCCTATCACTGGTAAGAAGATAGGGGTAGAACGCCTGATATTTGACCTGCCGTGAGGATACTTCTCACACGTTTAGTCACTGTCGGCTTCTCATCCTGATGTTGGTCGTTAGATCCGTCGTCTATTCCAGATGGGGAATTCTGAGGCTGCTCGGCGGATATATCTTGTGTGTTCAACTCAGCAAGGGTGGCCACAACGGGAAAGGGCGAGACGCACTTGAAGTGTCCTTCCTCTGCAAGGCGACTCCTAGAAATGGCGTACGAAAAGTCGCTGCAATTCCTTCCTCGCCCAAAACACCCAAAACGCCGCATTGAGGTGCAGAAGAGCCTCCAGCAAGATTGGCCCCATTCACAGTTCTGCCGACATCGGGGAATGTTTTGACGCCTAGGAGCGAATTACCAGCATAGGAACTATGGCCAATCGGGGGGGAGAACGTCGAAGCCGAGGTTGCTGAAGAAGCCTGGCCGAGCGACAGCGATGACAACGAGAGGGTACTTGCGTGTTGCCGCACACGCCGTGTTCTGTTAGACAGCCCGGATGAGTTGCCAGTGGAGAGCTGCATGCGGGTACAGGTCAAGGGGGCCTGGATACTGGCGAGGGATGATCAAACACAACCCATGGTAGATCAAGCATCTAGCAAGAACTGTCACACGGACTGCACTATGACGCGAGACATGGAGAGATGTGAGTATCAAGCGTCGGAGACTCGAAGGTCGAGTGTCGGAAACGACGGAGTGTCGGAGACGAGAAGATCAATGATCGGAACCATTTCCGACCTTGACACAGACTCTTGATACCTTCCATATGCCCGGCGTCTGCGTGTCAGAAGCAATGCGCATGCCTCCCGATCATGATCTGTGCAATTCTGACCTCAGTCCGATGCTAGTACCCACGGGTCGTGTCTGGTGAGGAGCGTTGATATGTGCGAAACAACTCTTGCGTCAACGGCGCTAGTCTTTCCCATTGCCTTTTGCTTCTCCCCATTACTATCTTCTGCACCATGACAGACACCGAGGCGTCTAGCGGCCAACCTTCTCGACATGCTGCTGGTTATGTGAGCGAGGGTGAACATAAGACTCGAGAGAAGGCCAAGGGCGTCCAAACGACGACACAGAAGCTCGACATCTTCGGCTGGTTCAGATCCTTATTCAACCCGCCAAGAAAACGCCCAGTACACATTATACTCA